TGACCTTGACCCTGACCTATGCTTGACTGACCCCGCTCTCTTATAGACCTTATATGATGGGTTGTGCACCGTTTTGACAGAGTTTATAACGAGAGGCGCCCATTGCGAAGTCCTGAAGTCCATGCTACTGAAAGCCCGATTTCAGGTGTTTGACCTGACCTTGACCCGACCTGTGACCTTAAAATTCAACTTTAAAGTACTCATCTGAAGCGTCTCGTCGCGTTCTATCGGTTGCCGCCTCGTACGTTTCGCTGCGCCTATTGGTTCTCGAGTTATCGGCTGGGGGGTTTAACGCCCCTCCCCCCCCCCAGCAAACGGTGGGTGGCGAAATACCCCAGCAACTGCCGGGTTAAGTACTAGAATCTGTCGCACCTTGTCGCGTTCTTGGTCCGTTAACTCTTCCTCCGGCAAAGCGAGAAGGGCCCTGTTAGCGTCACCCAGCTCTCTGCGGCTCGGTTGGGAGACACCCATACACATCAACGGGTCTTCTCTGGACCGCTGGGCGACACTGGACCTCATTTTCAGCCGGGGAGGTGCTGGACTGGCGGTGGACGCTGGTGACACTGCATAGCCACGGATCACATAACGGATCGGCAACTCCCCCCCGCGACCTGTCTCCCCTGCCACCTGGTGGGCATTTAAGTGAACTATCTTCACTAAGGAAGCGGCCGGCCTCGTGGGTGTTGAGGGCGTCGTGTCGGAGCTAATTAAGTGATTTTTCTGCGGAACATGGTTTCTCAGCTAGCTTAGAAGATACCTATGGTATAAATGAGAATGGCAAGAATTGTTAGAGACAGGTTAAGTATTTGAGATTGTATCCTTTGTCATGAAAATCGTTGTTTTCATACCCACGTGGGCGACCTAGCGTCCATCGTGAAATGGGTAATTTTCCGATCGCTGTCATCTCTTACATATATTTCATGAGTATATTTTTGATAAATATTCATCTGCCGATTAAATTAAACCTGTAACTTTCACAAATATACTTGCACAAAGTAAAAACCCACGCCGGGCCGGTACACGGTACCAACCGCGCCGGGCCGAGGGTGTATGAAACCCCCGCCCGTCCCCCCCCCCCAACTCGGCTTCTGGGCCACGTAGCCACACGGGGTAAGCGGCATTCCAAAGAGCGTAAAAATAATGGTGGAAATACTTCAGTCATTTTTTAGGTCAGGTCAAAGGTCAGGTTACCAGAGGGCATTAAAGGCAAATTTTGTCCATTTCAACAGTTTTCGAAACACCCGACGCATAACTTGAGAACCAATAGAACTACAGCGCCGCGGAAAAGCGCATTCGATAGCTCTTTCACAGGTCTTTCTGAGTTTTATTCATAGATTTGACCTCAGGTCAACGGTGTAGCCTCCAGAGGGCAAAAACTCCAAAAGAGGCGTGTTTACGAAAAACTTTTTTTTTCGGTAATAACTTTTGACTTAAACGAGCCACGACATTACTTTTGCCAGCATCGTGTTCCTCTCGTCGAGACGCGTCGAATGAACTATACTCGTAGGTTGACCTTGGAAGGCCATTTTGAAAATTTTACGTCAGGCCAAGGTCATGACCTGACCGGAAAGGGTCATGCTGCATATCAGTCGATCCGTATCGTCGAGCTGAACACATCTGACGTGTTTTCATCGCTCTAGCACGTGTGTCAAAAGTTATAGTAAAAAAAAAACTGCTGTTGACCGTTTTCATGCCACTGTTAACATGTAACCCGATGTTTGAGGGTGTTAAGAATGACCCGTCCAGACCAAATGAGACGCCTTTCAATTTGCTCTTATTGACTTATTATTAGTATTATATATATTATTATATATAGAGAGAGAATGTTGAATATGAGGCAATATATAGGGTGCAAAATGACCTGACCTGGCTCTAAGCCACAGATATCTTGAGATGTAACACGTGGCTAAACCAGCCTCGGGGCCAAAGCTATAGTCACTGTTTAGCGGCACGCTGCTACCCAGTACCTAACATCATCAGGTATGGGTGCCTCCGTCCCTATGGAAACGTAAGCAAACTTCACAATGTTGCCAACGTCTTAATGAAAACCGGCTAAGTGTCGATACCCTGTAGCGGCGGGGAGGGTCGTATCGTGAAACAGGGGCCGAGGTCCACCTATAGTCTCGTTAATGGCCAGCTCGTTGGATTTGCTCCGATGTTATCTACTCCAACTGGTAGCCGGTGACCGTCTAGATAAGAACAGGGGATGAACTCGTACTATGGGCAGACGGATGAGGAAAGGTCTTCGTGTACCTACGGCCAAAAACGACGTTAAAGTTGCGAGGACGTGCTTCTTGCTCATACAACTCAAGCATAACTAGAAACATTTGGATCATTATGCATGCTCCAGCTGATTAGGGAATAAAGTATGTAACATTTCCATGTTATGGTAACATTCCAGCTGTTAGAGAGACTCCGTAATTTAATCCGTTCTTAACCTTTGTTTGTTTTTGTTTTGTTGGGTTAGGCCCTTTCGGTCCATTGAGACCACTGCAGAGCCGGAAGGATTATAGGAATTGGGGTAAACATTGGTATGGACAGGCACCCTAGAGAGTCACCGGGGCTGAGCCCGTCCGAATGGACAGGCCGACCAGCCCCCCAAGCACTCTCTGCACCCGGCTACGGGTGTGCTCCCTCGGGAGCAGTGGTGCGCTTCAAGGGAGCAGCCCGCATGAGATAAAGTTGCCTGTCCAGCCCGGATCAAGAGTTGCTGCGTGGAGGAGAAGGATTTGAACTTGATCTGAACATCCTGAGGATGGAAACGACGGACGGGTGTTGCGTTCACACCCGTTTCCTCGTGCCTTTTAACACTGGTTGCGGCGGGCGGCCGGCTCCCCTCCTTAGTGAAGATATCCGCGCCGCTAGATGGCAGCCCGCTCCGCGGGTACACCGATAACAAAGGGAATCGGGGAGAGTTGCCGATCCGTTAGGTGATCCGTGGCATAGCATACAGTGGCTTAAGGCCGCCCCACACTGGACTTCGCATGCGGGTTGCGAGTTTGCGGGTTTTGAGTTTGCGGGCATAATACTAATTCATAGAGTGATTAGACCGTTCCCTTATGGTAACTTTATGAATGCAATGAAGCCGGTACACCTTCAGAAAATTACATATAGTCGCAATACCAGCGCAACGAACCAAAATTCGACTCCAACGAAAAACCCGCAAACCTCGCAGACCTCGCAGCGAGGAAAATCGAAAGTTGACTCAAAATCAACTTTTAGAATGCGATGCAAGGTCGCTCGCAAGCTAAAAACATGCAGACTCGCTTGATAGATGGTAGTGTGGGTCACTCAGCTTAGATTGTATCATTTCATTTTGAATAAACCCGAAAACCCAAAAACTCGCAACCCGCATGCGAGTTCCAGCGTGGGGCGGCCTTTACGAGCATCTTCCTCGCTCTCACCCATCTCAGTTGGCGGCCGACTGGGTGAACTGGGTCGCCCAGTCGTTGATACCACGACCACCGGGAACAGCCACCGCTCGGCTTCGGCGTCCCTGCCTGAAATGAAAAGGGTGCTAAAAACTAGGATGACGGAGCGCGCCATTGACACGCATAAGTATCACGACAGACAGACAGACTAGACAGACCGAGACCGGGACCGAGACTGGGACCGAGACCGGGACCGAGACCGGGACCGAGACCGGGACCGAGAGTGAGAGTGAGAGTGAGAGTGAGAGTGAGAGTGAGAGTGAGAGTGTGTGTGAGAGAGAGAGAGAGAGAGAGAGAGAGAGAGAGAGAGAGAGAGAGAGAGAGAGAGAGAGAGAGAGAGAGAGAGAGAGAGAGAGTGTAGCGGCGCTGCTCCACCGCTGGTCAAGTGATATTTAGTGGTTGCGACTCACTGAAGTCGCGGCGTCAGCTGCGCGGCAGAGACGTATTTGCTTTTCACCGGCGGCGTGGTCGAGGACGCCATTTTCGCTTTGGCAGTCATCATGCCATGAACAAAGTTTGGCACCCGGCCAGATTCGGGACAGAGTATGTATGAATCAAAGAATATTGTCGTTTTGTTACCTATTTATCAGCTTATGTTGTTACCTATGGATACAATCTGTGATATCGTTTCCATACGTTGATTTCTCACGTTGATAACCGATTTACCTAATTTACCTATATTTCGGATGTTTTTCATGCTCATAAGTCACTTAGTGTTATGATTTATGTTCATATTTATGATGTGCGTTTCTTTCTGTGTGTTTCTCAGGTTTTCTACGTTACACCTGCGTTACACCTGTGTTACACCTGTCACCTACGCAGTTACCCAATAGAATCTGAAAACTAACAACTTGTTTACCTGCCAAAGCCGTATCAGTAGAAAACTCTCCTTGTATCGGCCCAATGTAGTTTTTAACCAGTGTCATTTTTCCTGTACTAAATAATGCTGAAACCTGTTCCAATTCTCATGTAGAATTTGTAGTTCGTAGATGTCGCCCCACTAACCAGTCCCAGAACATGGCGGACTCAAATCAAGGCAACGTTGACACGACAAGAGTGAGAAAGATGACAGAGGCTGGCAAAGCCTATCAGCTGAGCTTGAAACAAGATGTCTACAAGAAATGTGAAAGGAGTCTAATCAAAGTGGGAAATGAGATTGTAAAGGCACTAGAAGAAACAGAAACAAGTGGCACAAGACAAGATGAAGCTCTTCGAACCGCCTACATCTCATGGAAAAGGAACTATGTCATGTTCGGGCAAACAGAAGCAGATCTACGAGCTCTATTAGATGAAGACGCCAAGGAACCACACACAGAAGAGCACAGGCAAGTCCTCTGCAAGTTCAACGAGATGAAACTGAAGATGGAAAACAAACTGGAACCAACAGACCCAACACACAAGGCAGCTGTTGCTCCGTCAGCATCAGGCAGATCCTCAGGCTCTGTTCGCTCCCGAATAGGTCTTCTGCGTCTGGAGGAGGGACAGAGAAGAGCAGAGTTGATGGCAAAGGAAGCAGCTACGAAGCAACGCCTAGCCATCGAACGACAGCAACAGGAGTTGAAGTGGAAGATGGAGCAGCTGCAAGTAGAAGAGGAAAAGAGCATCCTGGAGGCTAAGAGTGCAGCACTGCTGAAGTTCGAGGAAGGTGAGGGGATGTGCGCTCAGGAGTCAACACAGCTGCTGCCAGCAACCCGTCTCATCACCTCCACTGGTGAGACAGCACAGCTGCCGTCAGCAGGCCACTTCAACGCCTGCACCGACGAGACAGCACAGCTGCTGTCAACAGGCCACTTCAACACCTGCACCGATGAGACAGCACAGCTGCTGTCAGCAGGCCGCTTCAACACCTGCACTGATGAGACAACACAGCTGCTGTCAGCGACTCGCTTCAACGCCTCCACTGATGCGACAGCACAGCTGCCGCCAGCAACCCACCTCAATGTCTCATCTGATGCTGCAAGGGATGTTACTGCATCCATGCCCATGCTTCCTCCCTATCCTGTTCCACAGGCTGGAGCTGTTGCAGGGCCTGGAGACATCAGTAATCAGCAACCTGCAAGAGACCAACTCAACCAGTCATCCTCAGCAGTTGACGTTCTGTCAACCCTGGCGAAGCTCCTCACTGAGAAGAACAACGAGAACCGCCTGCCAGTCTTGGAGCCTGAACTGTTCACTGGTAACATCGAGAAGTTTCCAGTCTGGATCAAAGGGTTTGAAACCTACGTGGAACACAGAACTTCATGCCCCATAGAACGGCTCCACTTCTTGGGAAGATATACTGACGGCGCCGCCCACAGTGCAATCGCCGGTTTCTTACATCTAAGAACAAGCGACGCCTACACCAAGGCCAAAGAGAAATTGGTCAGTCGGTATGGCAACGACTACCTGCTGGCGAACTCGTACTCCAAGCGACTGCGAGACTGGCCGGTGATCAGAGGAGGAGACAACAAGGGACTTCAACAGTTGGCAGACTTCCTGGAACACTGTCTGATGGCCTCAAGTGCCATTGCTGGTATGAGGACGCTGGACGACCCGTACACAGTGCAACTGGTGCTGAAGAAATTGCCATACTACGTCTCCGACAGGTGGAAACGCGTCGTGGACAGTAGCGTGTTCGGGCGCTCTCCTCGGTACCCAACGTTTGCAGCGTTCGTGGACTTCATAACCACCGAAGCTCGGATCGCGTGCGGTCCTGTCAGCATGCAGATGGAAGGTGAAGCTGACACCAGGGGAGCAAGACTTCGAGGAAAGGTGCACACCTTCTCATCGTCCGCTGAGGTCTGCAACGCGTGTGGTCATCAGAGTAACCCAGCGAGAGAGAAGTCTGTCACCAGAAGCAGACAGTGTGTCATCTGTGGTGCTGACCACTCAGTGACTGCATGCAGCAAGTTCATCAAGATGACGCTCACAGACAGAAGACACGCAGTTGAAGAGAAGAGGCTGTGCCGAGGCTGCCTGCGACCCGGCCACATGTGGCGTGACTGCCGCAGGAAAGAGAGGTGTTCAGTCTGTCAGCGTCTCCACCCATCTCTGCTGCACGATGACGTCATCCAAATCAAGACAAAGGAAGCCACACGGAAGACATCGCAAGCAAGAGAGTCGCAACAGCGTGCGTCCCCGGAGACGTCAGCAAAAGCGACAACATTGCGATCCAGTCTAGGCGACAAGCAGGAGCACAACTCATCTCACTGTCACACAATGATCGTGCCAGTGAAGGTCTTCCACAGGCACCGTCCGGAGCGCGCGCTCATCACGTACGCGCTACTGGACGCCCAGTCGGACGCCAGCTTCATGACTGACTCAGTCTGCAAGACGCTACAAGTCAGCGGCTCAGAAGTAGAGCTGGAACTCAGTACCATGGCCGGCACGACATCATTCTCAAGTCAGTTAGTGAAGGATCTTCGCATCGAGAGTCTGGCTGACGGCAGTGTAACAGATCTTCCAGACATGTACACTCGTGCTCACATACCAGCTGATCGCAGTCTGATACCGCAACCCAAAACCTGCGAGAAGTGGCCCCATCTCCGCCAGCTTGCAGACGACATCCACGACGAGTTCGCGGATGCGGAGATCGGTCTACTGCTCGGCATTAACTGTGCCAGAGCCATCAAGCCCAGAGAGATCATCCCTGGAGACAACGACGACCCGTGGGCGGTGAGAACGATGCTCGGCTGGGGAATAGTGGGACTCGTCAGTGAATTTTCACCGACGTCCTGCTTCCTCGTGTGCACCAACAACCAGAGTCGACTATGTCACTTCTCATACAGGACGCGTGTCAAGGAAACGAGTCTTCGTCAGCTCCAGAACGTGTTCGACTGTGACTTCTTCGATGGCAAAGCCGGCAAGCCAATGTCACAAGAAGACATCATCTTCGTCCAAACCATGGATAGTGGCATGCACCAACTCAGCAACGGCCACTACGAGGCGCCGCTGCCGCTGAAGCCGGACGGCGGCCTCCTGCCGAACAACCGTGACCTCGCGAAAAGTCGACTGCGCTGGCTCAAAGGGAAGCTAGTGAAAAACAAGGAGCTGCGCGACGACTACGAGGCCTTCATGAAGGAGCTGCTCGACAAAGGCTACGCGGAACGGGTGCCAGAGGCAGAGCTCACGATTCAAGACGGACAAGTGAACTACGTTCCGCATCACGGGGTATATCATCCCAAGAAAAGGAAACTGAGAGTCGTGTTTGACTGCAGCGCAACCTACAACGACGACTCCCTGAACAATCACCTGCTTCAAGGACCGGATGAAAACAACAACCTGATCGGGATCCTCATCCGACTCAGGGAAGGAGCTGTCGCCTTCTGTGGCGACATAGAAGGTATGTTTCACCAGGTCCGGGTGAATACTGAGCACCGCAACCTACTAAGGTTTCTGTGGTGGGAAGAGGGAAACCTGGAGAGTGAACCGAGAGAGTTTCGCATGTGCACGCATTTGTTCGGCGCCACCAGCTCGCCTGCGGTGGCCCTGTGCGCGCTGAGACGAACGGCTGACGAGCACGGCGACGACAGCGCCACTGGCGCATCCAACTTCGTGAAGAACAGCTTCTACATCGACGATGGTGTCTTCTCGACCTCCAGCTCATCTGAAGCTCTGCAGCTGATCCAAGACGCTGTCGAACTCTGCGCCAAAGGAGGATTCAAGCTGCACAAGTTCATGTCGAATGATGCCGAGGTCCTGAAGAAGCTCCCCGTCTACAGCCTGTCTCGAAGCTCGAGGGAGGCGATCTGCGAGGGGAAGTCACTGCCGTGCGAGAGAGTACTCGGTATTCAGTGGAATACCAGTAGCGACACACTCTACATCGAACCTACGCTGCCAGAAAAGCCAGCCACCAGGAGAGGAATCCTGTCATCGCTCAGCTCCCTCTACGACCCTCTGGGGTTCCTCAGCCCATGTACACTGATAGCGAAGAACCTGCTCAAGAAGCTCTGCACTAGGGTGTGTCGTCAATCCAAAAATGATCTGCCGTTAGAATTATTTGGTGCCCTGATATGTTGCTAAATCATCTAGGACGATAATTCCCCTCAAAACTCCGTACTTGATGGCCTCTTCTGAAAAGTTTGTGTCTCCGTTCAGTCTCATTTGTATTAGTGGCGCCATCTGCAGAACAACATACGGCATATTGCGGAACTACTCCTTCTCATAAGTGGCGCTAGGTGGCGCTGAGTGCAAAACCTGTCCGACCGCTCCACGAACGCCGTTTTATGTCGTTTACTTGCCATTTCCGTGCTTATCAATATAATACTAATTAAATAGAACGATAGCAAACATCATGAGAGCCTGGCTCATCTGAATGCAGTACATGGTATCTCACAATGCCACGTATATCGATAGCTAACAAATGAAGCAACATTCACTACACTTCGAATCATCAATGCGAGATACGAGACAGGACCGAACTTTTTTTTCGTGAAAATCCTCGTATTAATCAACCACATGTAACATAAAATACATCAATCACTGCACCCGACGCAAACCGAAAGCCGAAACCATACACCAGACACCCACGTATGGGGTCTCATTCACGACATAATTCACGTATGAAGAAAACATCCTTTTACAGAATCGCAAAAACACGAAAATCTTCCGAGCATTCACGTAACGGTATGGCACTGCACTCTTAAAACCGGCCGAGCGGGGCGGGCGGGGGGGGGGGGTGGGGCGGCGGCAGCAGCGACAACCACATCACAGCGAGCGGCAGGGGCAGGCCCCGGCGGGTCGCAGCGGGCCAAGGCAGCGGCGACGGCAACTTCGAAGACACGGCGACAGGACCGAACTGGCAGTCACACGAACGGGTGACAGTGATCACTGAGCAGTTCAGCATATCTGGAAGTCTTTCTTCGAAGCGAAGACCGGATGGCAGCGGCGGTGCTTCAGGCGTGCAGTGATGTAGCCGTGACGCGCCTCTTCCCCACGCACCGCCAGGCACGCTTCGGTTACGGTCCGAACTGCCCGCTCCACCGCCTGCGTGTGGACCGGGTAGTTCGGCAGCTGCAGCGGAGAGTGCTCGATGGCTTGCAGCTGCTCGTCTGTGAGGTGGCGCAGCAGCGGCGGCTGCGTCACACTCTCCGGCGGGCTCCAGCTGATCACCTCTGTGTAAGCGGAGGCGCTGAAGTTCAGCTCCGGCAGCCGGAATGGCCGAACGTCCTCCGTCTCGCGCTGTCTGGCTGCCTGTATGTGGCGCACGGCCTCCTGTCGGACGCCAGCGTCACCGTCAGCCACCATCGCGAGCAGCACCTGCTCAGGATGCGCCCAGTACCCGTTGCGCTGCAGGACGGGTCGCACCACCTCCTGGATCATCTCCGGCAGCTCTCGGAGAAGCTCCACAGAACGGTGGAAGTTCTTTGCACCGTCTGTGCAGTCGGGGTGTCGCCTGATGCAGAACCACACCGGCACGTAGTGAGTCACCAGAAACTGCACGAGGAGCCGCAGGCTGTCAGACGGTGACTCTGTGCTCACGTACAGGCGCAGCACCCGCGCGCCGAGTGTCAGCCATCTGAAACGGACGCCACAATTTTGATCAGAAGAAAATTCAAGCACGCACACAAATCACAAACCAACGATAAAGTGCCGTACAAACACGGCTAAAATAAACCGTTTTCTGCACTGAACAGCGAACATTCGTTAGCTATAGGTAGAGGCGCTACTCCACTCGTATCACATGTGTTCTGTTGCAGTAACACAGTTTTATCAAAACTTAGGTAATTAATTTGATAATGGTATAGTCATTACTTATGTCTGTAAGACAAGTGAATGAAAGTTGACAACTTTCATGTTTCCAATGGTAACATAAACATGTATTTTGAAACCTGTATTGTTTTAGAGTAACAAAGAACACAAGCGAGGTTTCGATCTAAGTTATTAGGTAATAGGTATCTACTTTGAATGAAACGAACTAATAACTGATTATTATAATATTTGCATGCATAACTTATTCATTAAACAATATTCAAACTTGATAATGACGTAAGTTAAATGCTCGTTTGTCATTCTTTGCATGCTTCTGAAATAAACAATACCTGCATATGATTGTACGTGCGATCAATTGTTAATCTATTTTACTTGCGTAACTATGCATGTGTCACGAAATAACGGACATGCCTCATATTGCGCCCCGAGTACTGACCTGGCGTGGTTGAGTGGCCCGATCCTCTGTCGCGCCACGGAGTCCGACATGTCGCCAGTCTGCACCGCCAGAGCCAGTCGGTACAGCAGCTGCTGGTCGTGACTGAGGGTGGCGACCAGCTCGGCTGTCATCTCCGGCACGTGTCCGGGCACGGGCTGGAACGGCGCCACCTCCCTCCTCCACACGTCCTCGGCGCAGCTGGTGCCGATGGCGCCGTTGAAGGTTCGAGGTCCGCTGGTAGTGCCGTCCAGCGTCTTGAATACGTGCCGCAGGTTCAATTCATTGCCGTGCAGCATGCACACAAACCAGTGCACGGGCTTATTTGTCGCCAGCTCGAAAAGTCGGCACACACCACCGCTGGTCCCGATATTCACCGCCGTACCATCGCATCCCAGTGCTTTCACATGTTCACCGAACGCCACAGCGATGGTGTAGAGCTCGTTCACCATGTGAATGGCGCTCCCAGACTGAGGGGTGAAGTGTGTCAGGTACAGATTCCCCGGCTCAGACAGGACGACGACATGTTCTTGTATGTCTGTCGCCGCCGAACAGTCGGTACATGTTTTGTCCTTGCGCCCGTCAAAGTACAAGCTCTCTACTCCTCCGGACACAGCTGCGTCGATGTTTTGTCGGGCCGATTCATTCCTCATCATGTTTCTCGCGCGCCATATTTTCTTGGCGTCGACGACGTTCGACATGTCGTTTTCATTGATGCGCCCGATATCGACTTGAAACGCGTTTATGATAGCAGCAGCGGCCCGGTTAGAAACGCCGTACCGGTCCGCTGCGAGCGCCGTCTCCCTCAGATCATCTGCGTTCTTGGCACTCGGAAGTGCAGTCGGAGCTGTAAACTCTTCGTCATCCGCAGACGAGTCGCTGCCGGCGTCGCCGCCGCCGCTGTCACTGCTGTCAGTGTCGCCGAGGCGGAGCTGCTCGGCGGGCACAGCGCCGACGGTGCTGCCACTGCCAACGCCGCTCGGCCCAGGAGAAGGCTCCGTAGCGCCACCATGCTGCTGGTTGCGGTGTCGCGATAACTGACGCTGCAGACGCGCCTGCCTCGCCTCACTCGTGGCCCGATCGTATGATCCCAGCGTCAGTCGGCGCTTGTGTCGCTGGTCCTTGAGGAATGGCCACTCCTCACTTGGAACTTTTGCATCTCGCGGACAGCAGCACGCCGCACGGGAGGCACATTTGCACATGGCGATGTCGAATAGCTTCAAGAAGTGGCTATTGTCAGCGTCCGCCCTTTGAGATTTTTTCGTCCTGTTCGCGTTTTTATATGCAGCATACTCCTTTAGCACGAGCTCTTTGACATATTTAATTCCATGGACAGGGATGCCCTCTTGCGACCACATTTCACTGACACTAACAGCGACATGATTGAAAACTGAAGGAGCTGGCGTTTTCCGGGTGGTCGAGAACCCGTTGCTGTCTTGATCGAGAAATTTTACATAGTTAATCACATCACCCTTTGTCGGCAGCACGGTTGTAGGCAATGGACCTGCCTTACCCAGGATGAAATGATGCGTAGTAGCACGTGTTTTAGGCATCAGTTCAATCGACTTTGCTATCATTAGATACCCACCCCAGTAAGCCCTATCTCCCCACCACCGTCCGTCTCGGTATGAATTTGACCCGATGCAGAATTGTTTTGATTCAAAGCAGAATAGCATAAATCAATAACAAAAAAAAATATATATCAGCCGGTATCCTCGGGTTCCAAAACGTAATAAATCGTACATGTATATGACAACACATTCAGCATATTTCCATAGTTAGTTAATTTTGCAGATTTGAATATTACAGAATGAAAATAACATTGCTTGCAATAAAAAAACTGATCATAACAAAAACGACGCTCAAATGCCCTTGATATTGCATGCCGACAATCGAAGACTTTGAAACGATCAGTGGCGCCACCTTTAGTTTCGTAGCCATATCTTTAGTTCTTAAGTCGTCCGTGTGTTGTATCACAGATGGCGCTGGGGCATCTGACATCGGTGCAAACTTTCCTCCAGAGGCCAACATCTGCGCAGTTTTGAAACAAATGTTAGTGAAAAATTGTTTTGTGATGAATCAGCGCAACAAATTCCGGACACGGCATTAAGATCAGCGAAAATCACCCCCTCCACGACACACCCTACTCTGCACCGACAAGTACGATTGGGACGATCCTGTACCGGACGAGATACTCAGCGAGTGGTTGCGCTGGAAGATGGAGGCGACGCAGCTCTCCGAGTTGCGCATCCCCAGGTGCTACTTCTCCACAGACCATGGATCAGTCAAGAAGTATGAGCTGCATCACTTCTCTGATGCCAGCTATGACGGGTGTGGCCAATGTTCGTACCTGAGAGCAGCGTATGAAGACGGACACATCACAAGCTCCCTCATCATGTCCAAGACCAAGGTCACACCCTTGAAGTCTGTTACCATCCCCAGGTTGGAGCTGGTAGCCGCCCTGATGTCCGTGAGAGTCAGCTGCTTTCTGAGCAGCGAGCTGACCATCAAGGAGTTCGACCAATTCTTCTGGACGGACAGCACCGCCGTCCTCGGTTATATCAAGAACGACACAAAACGTTTTCACGTCTACGTCGCCAACAGGGTGCAAGAGATACGACAGTCAACCAACCCAGAACAGTGGCTCTACATAGAGTCCAAGATGAACCCAGCAGACCTCGCCTCTAGAGGTGCAACAGTCGCCGAGCTGATTGAGAGCAGTCTCTGGTGGCACGGACCACCATTCCTGACAGCCCAGCAGAACCTGCCAGTAACGAACAAACAGTTCGGCGTAGCGGACGAAGATCCAGAAGTCAAGCGGTCCACGTTCCAGACAGTGACCAGCCAGAAGCAAGAGAAGAAGAAGAAGATGACTAAACAAGAGACAAAGGAGAAGAAGATGACGAAGGAGAATGAGGAGAAGATGTCAAAAGAGAAGACGATGATGAAGGAAGTCAACGAGCTCTGC